GATGATGATGATGATGATGATGATGATGATGATGATGATTGGGATGATGATTGGGATGATGATAATGATGATGATGATGATTGGGATGATGATGATGAGGATGATGATGATGATGAGATAGCCTCCAGGTTTGTTTTTGACCCTTTCTGCAATAGTACTTAACTCTGATGTTTTCAATGAAGACAATAAAAGTTACTTCTTAAAAAATTTAAAAGACCTAGTGAGCTTAACAGGGCTTAGTGGATTGGGAGTGAACCTACTGACTGAAAAGTCCGTGGTTCGAACTCAACCTTTGCATCTAGACTGCTCATGTCTAGGCTTCAGCAGCCCTGGAGCATTTCAACTCTTTTTGGCTGATTTTGGATGTCATGGAAGCTTAGAAATTAAGATTTTTTCGTTCTGTTATTTGAATGAGATAGTTTGATTCGTATGTTACTTTTCACAGTATACTATGCCAGGATATATGTCCAAAGAGCTATGTTTTTTGTTATCTGAGCCCGGAATTTAGCCCCTTTCAAATGACGAAGAATGAGCAACGGCTCCTGGTGTGTATTAGAACAAACACAACGCCAGCCTTCTTCCAGGATTAACATTTGGCTGTTCTGAACTCGCTAAGGAAAGAAGCTGACGTCAGTAAGGAACAAATGGTCTCTTTTTAATATCCGCAGCCAATGAGTTTGAATATCAGGAAAGGTTGAACTCATTGGCGGGCCGCAGTGTGATTGGGGTGTAGGAGATGGTGATTATCAGTAGGGAATTAACTGAACCAGTAAGAACAAAGGACCGATTCCGACTCCGATAACAGGCACAAATGTCCAATTTCATAACATGACTACTCGGTCGAAGCGTGGAACGAACGGCCACAGATAACAAAATCCAATTATCAGCGGTAAAACGCAGTTACCATTTATCAGCCCTAAGTAAACCGACGCCAGCTGTTGAACAAAAAAAACAGAGATATGTGTATGTCGAATGCGAAAATTTTCCCACAATAATAAGCTGATTGGTCGGCTTTTTTAATGTAATCAATGGATGGGTGCGACATGATCAGAATCCTGATGCTAGTAACTATGCAAACGTGTGCTACGGGGGATGTAACTGCTCGTTTAGAAATCGTAATGGAGCTAACACTGGTTGTGACCACCCGAATTCTATCGCAAGTTTGCTTACGGCATCAATTCTCATTGTTCTGTGGTATCTTTAACAAACATTACCATATACTGAATGAGACTACTCGTAAGGTTGCTCGAAACTTTTCGACAGCCCAAGACCGGTTTCGCCCTCCTACTTTGAGCTCATCAGTTAGGCACAGTCTCCGAGTTTCCTTATGTCCTCATCCTGTCCTCGCGGAACTATTCTGGTGAGTACACACCAGAGGTGTGAAAGCATCGAACTCGAGTTTCATTGTTCTTTAGGGCTCGTCAGCAGTACGAATCCGTGCCGAGGGTTGAACTTTGGACGTCTGATTTGCGAAGGGGACAGACTTCGACCACTCCACCAGCTAGCGCTAGATACAGTTGAGTTATCGCATATGAGCAGACGAACGTGCTCACGCCCGAGTGATATGAGTGTGTACGATCCTGGCCATTATCTCAAAGCAAGGATTTAGTTACTTAGCTGACGGGTAACGTGTTGTTTAATTCAACAACGGATGGTCGTTAATAATTGCGGCGAAACCGAATTCTACGAACTTCACCTGCATTTGTTCTGTAACCGCAATTGGGCAGTGAACAATATATTGAATCAGACTTGGGCAGACAGTATGGATAGGCAGACCGTGGTTGTATTAGAAATTAACAGTAAATAGTGAGCAGAATCAAAGGAAGGCTGTTCACGGCTGGATTTAACCTTGTGCAGTTAGCAACGCAGGCTGGCACACAAAAGGCGGTGTGCTATCGGACAAATCAAGCGGAAAAATGTTTTGCGATCCAAATTAGGACAAAATGTTCAACAGCAAACCCAGAAATGAATGTGAATAAATCGAGTCGCGAAAACAGTGAACATAGAGTCGACTTTGTATAAGATAGAATAGTTCAGTCTTGAAACTTAATCAGTCGCCGGAAGAGTAATGAATTAGTCTCAGAAACAGAGGAACATAAATAATTACGTCAAGTAGTTAACAGTGTGGTTTAAAAGTCTCCTCGAATAACTATCGTGTAAGTGCTCTTTTTTTGGATGAACTTAAATTACAAGGCGAGAAATGAGTTTAGAAGGTAAGGACTATACGGGTGTAACTGTGTCCCACTGAGTTCAAAAGATAACTTCAGAAGCACGGACATATTCGGAGGCATTCTCAAATCTTGCATGGTTTTTGTGTATACCGGAACGCCTGAAGTCACTGTTCTTCCTCCATATAACAGCCGCAGACATGCAAAATCGCTTGAAAAATGGACACATCTGACCATATTTTGTAATGGAATTTCTAACAGGTCAAGAAACGATTCCCTACGTCTTGGTTTATGAAAAGACCCAATAGGTAAAAGGTAATGTAATTTGTGTTGGCTCACCTATTCCGGTCGTCCTGATACATCTACACCTATTCGAAAGCTGGTCCCCTTGTTTTCAGAAAGGGTGTCATCCAGCAAACACTAGCAATGCATCCGGTGAACAGGAGCCATGTACGATGTCTGGGCATTTGAGAGGAAATTCGACTGATAACGACTAAACAACCGTCCATGTGTGGTTGTCAGTAGTCGTGTGAAGTTTGAAAATTTCCAACTGACATTTCGTCCTGTAAGTGAAAGCTGGGAAGCCGAGCAACCCTGCACAGCTGTCTATCCCTACTGGAATCAGCAACAATGTATATCTCCTGGATCTCCGGGAAGTTTCGAATCCCTGACCTCCCAGTCGCCAGTTTTCCAATTGTGCAGGTTAATCGTGGCCGAACAATGACTACTGACTCTTCTAACAGTGCATGAGTAACTCAGACGGAAAACTACTTCACAAGACGAATGAAACTTCCATCTAGGAAGTCGTCACTCGTGGAGCCAGTCGAACCACGTGATTTGAATCACGTGCCTGAGGGATTATCGATTGGCCTGCGTGGCCGAGTGGTATGGTGTTCGACCATTAGTATGAAGATTCAGGGCTTTGATCAGATGTTCGTCGTTGATGATTCCCATGCATCTTTCTGCTTTCCGGCTTCACTGACAGGATAAAAGCTTGAATAGAAATTTCCCCCCACTGTGAACACTGTTTTCACATCACTGTTTATTTCTGAGTCCTAGCTGTACTCCCTTCCAGAGTGCTACTTTCATTCAGCAAATTGCATGAACAAGTCACTGTTTTCTAGGTAAGTCAATTGCTTTCTGTCGCTTTTTCCGACTTGGAGGAACTCGAAAGGACCGCTACCCAACCTAGTAAATAACTAGACCGATTTCGCTCTCATATTATGAGAGAAAATGAGGATGACAAAAATGCTGAAATTCAATTTCGAGACTGTGCACATCTCGTGAGTAATCGCGGATTTCAGAGGATTTTTAAACGTGAAACCTACATGCTGCGTTGGATGACAAACTGCTGTTCACTTATGTGCTCTAACGAAAGAGATATATAACCCAGTTTTTAGGGAGCGTTTCTTTTTCTCCTGCGTAGAAAACGTTATTTCGGAAGTGAAAAACAGCGCTACGTGGCATTTCGGCATTGTGCGCGAAAAGCGCTCCCACTGATTTGTCAGTGAACGGAAAATTAAAACTTATTTAAGAGCAAAATGATGAATTTAATCAGAACAGACGGACGACCATAGGTGACGTGGACTATTAGGTGAAAAATGTACCGAAACCGCGCTGTGTTGAATTTCGACTGGCTGTTGTTCAATGACGTCATCTGGCACTTTTTTGAAAGCAAAATCCCTCTGACTTTTATATTATTCCGACATTTTATATATCATTACTGTAACACACCTTCGGCGCCTAGCTAACATGCAACCCGATGGAAGCATGAGTGCTGAGATACTCTCAGGTTGTCCAAGCCTAGACGAGATCAAGATGCCAGGGGGAGGTTCTTGCCTTCCTGCATTGCGACCAGTAGGTCCACTGGGCTACTTCGAGCTCGAATGTCAAAACAGCCCAGTCGAAAATGTTTTATATTTCTTGAAAACAGTCCAATTTGGGTTCAGGTAGAACATAAGGTTGACGGAAACTGGGGGGACTGTGCCTATCTGATGAGCCCCAAGAAGGGCGAAACCGGTCGTGGGCTGTCGAATAGTTTTCAGCAACCTTGTGAGTAGTTTCCTTTATGAAAATGTACTGCGATGCCTCGAATATCGTGCCAACTGAAACATGAGGCGGCCTGTGTGTAGCACATTCACTTGTAGAATATCATAAACGAGAGATTCAGCTGAATCTCTTGTGAAAACCAAATTGATTTGCAAATCAGTGTATTTTCTGAAATTTTTATCGACACTACGAGTAGTGTCTTACGAAAGGGGATATTTCGAGCCAAGAATATCGTTACAAGTGGGGCACTGTATGTGCAGCACATTCGGATGAGAACTATCGCAAGCAAGAAATTCAGTAGGCTGTCTTTCTCAGCAACGTTTCGGTTTCGACTGCATGTAAGGAGCTTCGAGACTCCAGTTGTTTCTCACCCCGAACAGGTAAACTTGCATAAGATCCATCAAAGGGAAGTGTCCCGAAATGTAATGTTTCACTTATGCCTGAGGTGTTTTAATGCGGAACAAGCACTGTAAATGAGGGAAAAATTACCAGTTTAGAACGTTGAACGTCATTGAAGAAGCAATACTTTCCATGCTCGAATCGATCGAGAAAGTGCTGTCAGACCATTGTTTCTGAAATGTGCTCAAAAAAGGGACATTTTTCAACGACATAAAAATTACGAAAATGTCGCAGGATCTTTTGGGTAAATTCCATTCATCGGTTTTTCAAAAGTTTGCTGGTCATTTTTTGCTCGTAGAAATTTCTGAATGACTTTGTACAGTGCATTCTGGTTCATTACGGCCCGACACGGTTGCGGCTATGAACTGGCACCACTAACGGGACTGGTTGAACAGGATATATCTACCAACAAAGAAATAAACGTCGTTTGAAGTTTAGACGTATCAGGAAGGTCAGATTCCTGAAAGCAACTTCAGAACGCCCGAAACCTACAGCCCAACCAAAAACGCAACAGGAAAGCCGGCAGGCATTCAGGCCAGTCAATCATTCAATCAATTCAGTAAAAGCTGGTGAATGTTCTTGCACGCCACAGAAGCACGACCGAAGATGATCTGCGTTTAGACATTTCACAGAGGCACGATCGATGTTGATGGGTGTTCACTAATGCCTATCAGACAGCCTGGATCAATGTCAGAAAGTCCCCTTTTAAGTAGCACGGGGCCGTTGTAACTTTTGCTCAGGCACTCGCACTCGCTTGTTCGGAATATAGCGGTTGTGTTCCCTTCCGTGAGTCTTTTTTCCCCGGCATTAGGCACTGGAGCGGGTCAGCAGCAGGTACCATAAATTGACGACTCAGCAGATATAACAAGAGGAGAGTCTTGAATATCCCAAATCAACCAAATTCCTTCGAAAAGGGCACAGTAATAGTTTGCTTCATGTTGCAGGTTTATGTGCCCCAGCCCCCTGATCTGGAAGTCCTGAAAATTTTGTGCACCGTCCATTAGTTTGACGTTTGAAATTCCCCACTTTTCATCTGTCCCTATTTGTAACTTCAGATCCAAACCTGTGTTAAGTGCGTGCGTATGAACTGGCGTTTGTTTGTCCCATCACTTCACTCATTTGACGATGAGGTCATCCAACCACTTAGTGGACCGTCTCACATGGAGGCCTGTTTTGCCTATTTGGTTTGTACTTTTGTAGTCCAGTGGACCATTTGTTTTGGATGAGTAGCTAATGTCGAGATCTGTATATTTTGTGAATCGACGTCTTACGTTAATAGGAACGTTTTGCCTTCCCGGAGGTCACTGAAGATACCGGTTTCGCTGTAACACTGAGTAAAGTTCAAAAGAATCTGACTTAGCACGTAACCACAAAGTTTTTCTGGACTGTTGTCGGATTTTTGTAGTGCACTCCTCATAAGGTTGTTGGAAAATCTTCGAGGCCCCACGACCGGTTTCGCCCTTCTTGGGGCCCATCAGGTAGGCGCAGTCCCCGAGTTGTCGTTAACCGTATGTTCTACTTGAAACCAAATTGCACGAAATTAACAAAATACACTCATTTGCAAACTAATTTGGTTTTGCGACTCATCTGGAACCCAGGTGAATCACTTGTTTGTGATGTATCGCCATATCTCACATACCGTACCAACTGAAACATGAAGCAGTCTGGTGCAACACATTCAGTTGCTTGGATACATCACAAGCGAGAGGCTCAGCTGGGTTCCAGGTGAGTCTCTCGAAAAACCAAATTAGTTTGCAAATGAGTGTGTTTCGCTGTCCTCCGATTGTCTAAACGACCAAAGGTCAAATCGCAGCAAACTGAAAGAAGTGAGCTCCTGGTGAGCAAAAGTCGAGTCTGGTGGCCCTCCACTTTGTTGTGGACAACCCACAGTGATTGCGTCAAGAGAGCGAGCGAGAGTTCTGTACATACAAGAATGACATAGGAATGACAGAACTTAAATCATTCACAGATGACCTGTGGATTTTTTTCCTATGAAGGTGATTGCAGCACATTCAGTTGCCTGGAAACATCACAAACGAACGATTCAGCTGGATTCCAGGTGAGCATCTCGAAAAACCAAATTAGTGTGCAAATAAGTGTATTTCCCTGTTCTTGGATTGTTTAAACGACTAAAGTTCAAATCGCTGCAACCCGAAACAAGTGAGCTGCCGATGAGCACTACTCATGTTTCGGTCGCTACGATATTTGAGATATCGCGATACATGTATATCTTCGTAATATACTACTCATAAGGTTGCTGAAAATCCGTCGGCAGCTCAAGACCGGAGAACATCACAAACGAGAGATTCAGCTGGGCTCCAGGTGAGTCTCTCGCAAAACCAAATTAATTTGCAAATGTGTGTATATTCGCTAATTTCGTGCAATTTGTTTTCAATTAGAACATAAGGTTGACGGACACTCGAAGGCTATGCCTACCTGATGAGCCCCAAAAGGGGCGAAACCGTTCGTAGGCTGTCGACGGATTTTCAGCAACCTTATGAGTAGTATGTTACAAAGATATCAGAGTTTCATGTTTTTCAGTCAGAAACTGCCACACCAGTTGGATTGAACCGAAACAAAGACATTCTTCAAATCACAGAAGACAATATGGACAAATAACTGATTCACGCAAATTTAGTTCCTCAATTAAATATACATCTATCTACGCGACAGTTGGCAGTACGAATTTAACTTTTGGCATTTATGTGCGGAGTGTAAGCTGGAAACCACGTAAGAAGTTTGTTACGCATGCATTTTGGGAAAATCAGTAAAGTTCACCTTTCGGATGTGTAACACAAATTTCATCAGAACAGTTGGTACTGTCTATTGTGTACTCGTCTGGAATTGGATTCGGGAATTCGACCGATCTCGAACTGAGACGTTCATATGCACGTAGGATGAATGAAACGACATACACACATACATACACAGGGGCGGACTCGAACCTCTAATCTTCCACTTACCGGACGGATAGATATCTAACCGACTCAGCTGTTTTCATCGTGATTATGCACAGGAACTGATTGGCTGATTCACCACATCTTTGCTAAGTAGAAAAGAACCAGTCCCTTGTGTGATTTCCATAATGGTCACGAGTTTGTTATGGTCCAGACATTCAGAAGCGGTTGTTACGAATTGCCAGAAATGAGGAAGAGTTTAGGAGGTCTTGAAGTGAAGATTTTCGATGCACGTGGCCTCAACCAAAAGACACGCCTGAGGATGGAAAGTGGTAGAAAAACTCGACAAGTTAATGGTATGATGGGACCGAATAAAAATGACGCAGTGCCCCAGGAGCTCTGTGTATTGCGGCCACCCATGAAATGTGAATCTTGTGTGTGAACACGATCTGATGCCAAAGTTTGGACTGCCTCCTGGAGAGCTTCACACCTTTCAGGCCTTCCGCGAATTTCCACCGATTGCATTCTAAACCCCGTCGCGCCATTCCGGCAAACTTATTAGTAATTCACTGTAAAAAGGACGAAATATCCTGAAGGTTATCGCTGTGCTTCACGCTTTCAGTTCCACTTTGTGTGACAGGGCGAGACGGAGTGCGAATTTATTGACCGGAAGATCCGTGGTTCGAACCCGACCCATGCCTCTCGACTTCCTCTGTCTAGGTTTGGATAACCTGACAGCATCCCGGCCCTTGTGCCTCATTCGTGTGGCATGGCAGTTAGGCACCGAAAGAGTGCTGCAGCTGAACGGCAGTATAGTGTAAAGTTGGCACCACAGTCAGAATGTTGGTTTGTATCAGAGGTTCGCTTGACCTTCCATTTGACTTCCCAGTTGGTTTGAGTAGTCATCACTTCGTGAGACCTGAAGCAGCGGCCTTGAAAAATGACCAGAGGTTTTTGAAATAGATACTAATCAGTGATAAAGAAAGGCGGTCATCAAATTGCCTCTGAGTAGAAAATTACCCAAGGAGACTCTTTGAAATCTACTGAGTTGTGCGTTTCACACTTTTCTGAAGCGAAATCAGACAGCTGAATCGATACGTTTTTGGGCGGACTTGGAGTGCCTTCTTTCATTTGTCGTAATTGATCTGTTATACACTCGTTCGCTTTGCCTGAAAGATAAACACAAAAGATCGAATAAATTAGATGCATTTGCCTCTAAATGTTGTACTTTTCGGTTGTAAACAATTTGGGGATGCAGAATATTTGAAAGCGCGGCAGTTAATGATAGATACGTCATGTCACAACCACGGTGCACTCAAGCACGTCTTGAGCATTCTATTCTAAACTGTGTCAGCTGAACCAACGGCAGGCATCATAACTTCCCAAAATCCCAGTGGACTACCCTGGATACGTTGGCAGTCAGGCTTGAAACATCAAATGACTGAGCTACTATGCCAGTGCAGACGCGAGAGATTAGAATTTTCCCGACGTCAGCGGCAACTCTGTATGGCCGGACAGATCAGGTCTAGAAAACAAGGAGGGAGCAAAGAACTAGCACTGTAGGCGTAACATACTACACGTAGGGTTGCTGGAAATTCTTCGGCAGCCTACGACCGGTGTATTATTCATGTATCCCCATAGCTTGACTATCGTACCAACTGAAACATGAGGCAGCCGGGTGCACCACATTCAGTTGCTTAGACATATCATAAACG